TATATGTAAATAAAGAGGAAAATTCATAGACTGTTATATGTCAACACAAAATTTTAAAAAGAGATTTTTTTTTAAATAAAATTAAAAACTTGCTTTCTTTTTCTTTAACTTTTCTATTAAAAAAATTATGTTTAATGAACCAAATGTACGATGAATCTTTAAAAAATAAAAAAAAATAAAATAAAAAAAAAAAAACATTAAATTCATATGTAAGTTGTTGAATTTTGCTTTACTTTAAAGTTATCAGAGAAATGCTTCTCTTGTATGAGTTATTCTTTATTCATTCTGAGTACCATTCTTAAGAGTGGAAAACATATTTTTACAAGAAACAGCTGCTTTAACACATTAAGTGCCATTTCAGTCACTGGTGACTGACAACTTATTTTTCATTCAAGCCACCTCGGTGATAGTTGAATAAAGATATACAATTTTAAAAGTTATATTCCTCTATCAAATATATCTTCCGTCAAATTCTACTCACATATCCAACAACCAGCATATCTGTGAAATCGGATATTGTGGGTTGAACAGAAAGGAAGACAAAACAGGATTGGCACTTAACATGTTAAGTTTCTTTAGCATACATATCATGACTTTTAAGAAAATTAACTTAATTTTTGAAGCTGAAGTAAAAACTCTCACAACTGCAACAAGACTTAAAAATAATAAAGTTAAAAATCTAAAATTATATGCTTAATTTAAATTCTCTCATCTTGGAATAAAAATATAGATACTGAATCATTAAATTTTATGTCATATCTTCAAGCAAAGTTTTACCTTAATGGTTTTCAAGCGAAAGGCTGAGATACATATGTTCCAGCCATAGTTAATGGTAGGATACATATGTCCCCATGTAGCAATCAACTTACTACAGTCAAAAGTCGTTAATCCGGACTCGTCGGGACTTCGGCAATTCCGGATTATCGATTTTTCCGGATTATAGATCAGGATTTTAAATCTGGTAAGATACATGCAGAAATGATAAAATTAAAAAATATGAACCTAAGATGATGAAAATAAAGAACCATTTGATCTAAAGGGTATCAAAATTTAAAAAAAAGCAATATTGATTGTTTACTTTATTAAACATTTCTTTCAATTGCCAACGTTGTTAAGGTGCGCTTTGTTTAACGTGATAATACTTTCTCTTTAATTCTATAAATAGAATAATTTCTTTTCATACAAGTCTATATTTGCTGTGTTTCAAGTCCTATAATGCTGTGTGGAGAAGCGAATAGACGCTTAATTTGTCAATCAAAATTTTTTTCGTTTTCAAATAACCTCGTGTCACTTTCTTCCACTATCGGAAGTGAATATAAGAGAGGATTTGAGTAAATCTATTCAAAGACGAGTCATTGAGTGAAATAATTACATTTAGTAAGGAATATTAAGCCAATAAAATAAAAACAATAAAAATCTGTCCTGAAGATAAGGATAGTGGACAGACTAACTTCAATCAGTGCACGCCCGCGGCGTACTAAAACAACTAAACTGCTGTACAAAAACATGTTTTGTCTCACTGTTTGTATCTTTCCTTTTTTGTGTTTTGTGTCGTCACTAGCACGCCAGGAAAGCGCTTCCAACCATGCTTTGCTATGTGATGTCCCATCGTCTAGGTGTACTCTATCTCTCCTGAAAGTTTGTCACTGATGTACTGATACGTCCTGTATACATGGACAGACTGATGCAAATAGCTCGACGAATCTCTCTCAGTGCTGATACGACTCCTAATGCATACATACAACATGATGAGAAATTCTTCCAGTAATTTCATATGAATATTTCTTCAGTTCTAAAACTTCAATTCTACAATTCTAAGAACACGATTAAACACTAATAGAGTGTTCCCCCCCCATGTTTGTTATTAATCCTCAGCCATGTGTCCTACAAATCTGAAACTTTGCCTATTTGCACATCTCCGACATGCATATAGATAAAACGAAATCCTCCCAGTACTTTCATATGAATATTTCTTCAGTTCTAAGAACAAGATTAAACACTAATAGGCTTTTTCCCCCCATGTCTATTATTAATCCTCAGCCGTGTGTTCTACAAATCTGAAACTTTGCCTATTTGCACATCTCCGACACTTCTAATAATATTGCAATTCACATAATTCTATAGATTTTTTTATTGTGCTAAGAATATAGAATCATAAAATCTGTGCAGTTATATTTACAAGCCTCTTTATTGAAAAAGTAAAATAACAGAAAATTTTAAAAAGATAATCCCCTCTGCCACTCTGCAAAATTTATGCTAAGTTTTCAACTGAGTAATACAGCAAAAAGTAGATAGTTAAACTCTTACTACATCATGGGTTTTAAGCTGGAGTGGTTATAAATTTTAACATTAAAATGTAAAAAATTAGTCCTTTGGGATTCTCTATGATAGCTGGAATAAAATTTTACACATTTATATTTTATCTGAAGTACTTCTCAATTTTCTAAGGTAGCTTACAGTTCCCTTTTTTAATAGTTTAGACTAAAGCATTTAAACTGTAGCACTTCTCTTATCGATCAAAATATCTGAGGAAAAGTGAACAGATATTGAAAGTTTATGGAATTAAGAAATCAGCTGAAAAATCTAACATGATTACAAATTGCAGACAATAGTACAAGAGCTTAATATTTTAAATAGTATTAAATAAAAATTAATTTCTGTTACTTGTAACTGTGGAGTTCTGCACATTCCTACAAATAAAACTTCTTTTAAAAAAATCAAGAAAAAAGTTTTTAAAACTGCAAAAATATCTCCCTGTTAACTTTCACAGCACTTTTTTAAAGCATACGAGAGATTTCGGATATGGTCACATAATTATAACCAGTATCCTTTGAAGAAATGTTCTTGATATAATAAATATAAAATTTTAAACTATGATAAACAATAAAAGAACTAACTTTGATTTGAACACTGCCTCTAAGTTTTTCTAAAACATCTTTTGCTGAACATATTTTTATTTCAGGTGCTTTAGGAAGAGATGCAGCTTTGATATCAGGTACTGAATCCACTAAAAATTTTGGATGCCATCTAACAATGCTATTTTCAGGAATAACTGGTAACTTTATACTAGTTAAAAATTTCTGAAAGTAATAGTACATTTTATAAAACTATATACAAACATTTAAACACATATATGAAATACGTAATAAATTTCTGATCATATACAACTTTAAAAATTATGAAAGTTTATTTTTTACTATCAAATTTCACATTTTTTATAGCAGTACATATTTTTTACGCACTATATGTAAGAAATTTATTTAATTCAAAATAAATGAATAGAATGGATTTAAGCTTCCAGCACACACGTCATGCACAAAATTTACGACAAATTTTAATGCAATTTTTCGCATATCGCAGCTCAGACATCCGAAGGTCATTTCTATTTCTCCTTTCAACCCACAAAATGTGCTAACAGGAAGTCATATGACTTTTTTTTTTTTTTGTAACTCGGCTTTTGTGCTATGTAGCAGCTTCACAAAAGTTACGACATGCGTGGGGTTGTGGGTGAAAATTCGAAAAATATTTTTTTCCTTGAATATGTTGTAATTTTGTGTAATTGATTGATGTGTATTATTTTAATTTGTATAAATTCGACTCTATAATTTTTATATTGGTTTCCATGGCAAAAAAAAATATGTACAACCACCTGAGTTTGCTCGCATTCTTCAAGAATTATCTGATAAAGAAAACGAAGACAAGGAAACCTTTGCATCTGAGAACAATAGCGATTTGAGTGAGGAAAATATAGATAAATAATATCTGTAGTGAATCGGAACAATATATTTTGGATGATGATGATAATAATGATACAGAAAAAAGGAATGACGATGATATGGTCTATGTTGGTAAGAATAAATCTTCTAAGCGGCGAAAACAGAAGTATGCAAACTGCTCAAAGACAAAAAATATGAATATTGTGAAAGTGTTACTTGGTCTAAAACAACATGCCAAGGATATAAAGGATGAAATATGATCATTTGTAAAAATAATTCATTATAAATATGCTTGATGAAATTTTGGAATGTACAAATAAATATATAAGTTTGCTAAAAGGCAAATACTCAAAAGACAGAGACTGCATTGTTACCTCAAGAGTAGAAATGATGGCATACTTTAAATTGTTATATATGATAGGAATAAAATAAGGACACCATGTAAATGCAAAAAAAGTTGTTCTCAAATGATACTGGAAATAACAAGAGCTGTGATGAGCTATAAGAGATTTTTATTTTTGACAAGTTGTCTTCAATTCGATGATAAATCAACAAGATAGGACAGACATAAAATGAACAAATTGACAGCTATCCAGAACATCTTTGAACCATTTCTAAAAAGTTGTAATAATTGCTACACTTTTGGCAAATTTGTCACAATTGACAAGATGCTGCATCCCTTTCGAGGTCACCATCAATGGATTCAGTACATGCCTAGTAAACCACCGAAGTATGGAATAAAAATGTATGCTTTGTGCAATTCAAAAACATTTTATACATCTGGCCTTGAAATTTATTGTAGAGCACAGCCTAGTGGTTCTTATGCTGTTTCAAACAGTCCTATGGATGTTGTGAAAAGGTTGGTCTCTTCACTTGAAAACTCACGCAGAAATATTACAACAGATAATTACTACACAAGCATCCCCCTTGCAGATTATTTACTGCAAAAGAAACTGACTCTTGTTGGAACATTGAAAAAAAATAAGAGGGAAGTGCCACGGAAATTTTTGCCAAATAAGAGACGGATGGTGCGAACAGCAGTATTTTGTTTCCACCAGCCAAAGTTCTTGTTTCTTATGTTCCTCGTAGAAACAAATGTTCTTATGTTCCTCATAGAAAGCTACCATTCTTATTTCTACTATGCATGATGATGCCAGCATTGATACAACCACAAATAAACCTGAGATAATCATGGGTTATAATGCTACAAAAGAAGGAGTGGACACCATTCATAAATTGTGTGCAAGAATAGAATCACAAGAAGATGGCCTTGTGTTATCTTTTTCAGTCTTTTGAATATTGCTGGGATAAATATCCAGGTTTTGCACATGCTTGCAAAGGCAGCTAACACAGCTCCATGCTGAAGGATTTACCTTTTAGTCTTATGAAAGAGCATTCTTTATTCATGTGCTAAAATCCAAAAATTACTTTCCGACATTTCTAAGTGATGAAGTGCCAGAGCAATCCTTATCGCAATGAGGAACGTGCAGTTTGTGTGTCAGAGGAAAAAAAAGGGGGATCATCAGCATCTACGAAATGCAAGACATGCCTTAGATACACATGCAAACATTATTCTATTACTGAAATTATTTGCATGGAATGCAATGTGAGCTTGGAACACTGAGAAATATCTTTAGAATTCTGTTTTTCTATTATGACTCCAATCAATTCTATTTCTATTATTACCATTCTTTATTTTCTTTTATTTCTATTTTTTAGAAATAAATAAAAATATTAAAATTAGTTTTTGTAACCAGTAAGAAGTAAATTTCCTTGCAGAAGTAAGTAATGCTAAACTTACATTTTTTCCTATCAAGGTGAGTGTATTTTCCTTATTTTCTACAATGAAATGAATCACTGCCTTTCCACCTGACTAATATAAGCATTTAAAAGTAATTGTTTTCATTTAAATGTGACATCATTTGTATTTTGCAATAATAAGGTTAATATTTTATCTCTTAACACATGTATCAATATTCACTCATTTCTGTCGTTTCTCATGCCCAAAACTGTATAACAACAGATGTCATAAAGAATACAACGCATGTGAGCTCATGTAAAATTGTGAAGCGCGCATGCTGGAAGGTTAAATATTATAAAAAAATTATGAAAATTTCCATTTTATAAATGAACTTAGATTTATGTTGTTGCTGCTTATGCTCACTTGTCTTACGTAGTCAGCCCAAGCCCACGAAATTCCTCGTGGCAAGGAGTGCTAGAATATGCCTGCCATTGGCAACAGCCTTAAGCATCTCTCAGGTGACAGTGTGATTTAGTTCAGTTCTGCCAATTTTGATGGAGAGCACCCCCGGGAAGATGGGTCGAGGGTCTCCCACCTCTCTCCCCTTCCACCAAACTACACGAGAGGACTTTCAGATCGCCGCATATTTAGAGTGCTGCCATGTTGCATCGACACTATACATTTACAAACATCCTGGGCCCTTTGGAATGGCAGTCAGTGATGCTAACCATTTATTAAGTTAGATTTATTGTTGTTGGCAACAATAAATAGTTGGGCGGCCAGTTAAATTTATTGTTGTATGTAAATAGATTTATTGTCCATTCATATGAACAATTTTATAAATAATCATTGGTAATATCAGTAGACATGCTTGTCATTGAATAACAGCCTTGGATACCAAAAGTAAAAAGAATTTCTGCCCGACTGCACCCCAATTTTAACCAACAGTTAGAACACATGGATCTTGTACCTTTCTTTTTCTAGCATCAATAAAAAGACTTCAGTATTGACCAATTTTAAGTGTCGTCATTTCATAATAAGATTAGAACATAGTTCCTGAAGTCTAGATTGTAATCCACAGTCCAATAAAAAAATAAAAATAAAAAAAAAATTGGGGGGGTACAAAAAGTTTTGAGGTTTTACTATTATTTACATTTTAATTATACTTAATTGTCAATAATTACATTTATTTTTGTTATTTTACTAGTTCATTATTTTATTTCTTTTATTCTTCCCCCTTCATTTTATAAAATTTAAAAATCAGCACAACATGCACGCAATTCAGATAATTATATCTACAGCAAACTCTTGATCTTGTAAACTTGGGATACATTAAAAATTCCTAAAACTGAAAGTTAGTAAATGAAAATATATTAAAAAAAGGTGGGAATGCATTTTTTGAGACCAAATTAAGGAATAAATGAATAATTTGTAAACAGTATTTCAATAAAAACATAAAATCGGTAAACTGGACTTTTTAAAAACAGGAGTAAATACCTCATGTGAATAACAATACTGAAATGTCTCTTAAATAGTAACAGTACAGTTATATGTCAAGATTATGCGACAGGCAATACCAATGAAGACACTTATGTCGGGAGGGGGGAGTCTAACTTCATACAAATGAATTTCATTTAAGTAAGATAATAAACATTTACTTAAAAAAAATAATGTAGTTTTCATATTATAGTTTCAAAATAATATTAAAATAAATGTACTACATGAAAAGGAGTTATATTGCTTCATAAAACTTAACAGACTCATCTAATGGCTCAATGAATTATATTATGTAAAATGTCTTCACAGCAAAATAATAATTTCTTTATTCTTCACCTTACAGATTGAACATAATCCTCATTAGAGTCAATGTTCTTCAAAATTTGTGACCCTTTTCTAACTGAACTGATATCTATTGAGCTTGCAGTTTTCATATGCTTTCTGATAGATTTGGGTTTCAAGTGTTGACTTGTTTAGTAGCAATCTGCTTACACATCTCTATAAGCTCATCAACTATCAAGTTCTTTGCCATGTGTGTTCAACAGGTTGTTGACATCATCATTATCAACTTCTGAATCTAGTTGCCTGATAGGATTAACAACTTCTGTTACATGAGTGATTTAATAAGTTTTTGGTGTGGATCCACTTCACTTTAAAAAAACAAATGGACAAATAAGGAACTGGGTAACTTTGATTTTCTGTAAGTCAAGGTATTGCAATACACAGCTACAAAATTTTTTATACCGCATTTAAACGATATGTCTGACAAATACCTCTACTAATCAGTATGCCATTCAGTATGGCATGAGTTAGAACAGGAAGATAAAATAGCCAAAACGTCTGGAATTTCTACCGCTAAACTATCAGATCGAAAAAGAAGCAAAAAGTTAGAAAAATGGTTTTCCTCTTGGATATAATTTCTGGCTCAATATTCATTATTTGAATAAAATACACACACACACACACAAACACACGAAAAAAAAATCCTTTAAGCTTTAAATTATTGCTGTTAGAACACAGAATATGCCTTCAAATGAATAAGAGTTCTCCTTCCCTTTTCTTTTTTTCCAAAAGGCACAGTTTGGAATTCATCAAAATGGTTAATTATTCTGTATATTATGACATATTATATAATATGTACACTGTGCAAAAAAAAGGGGAGACACTTCTATATCTCCTGTTATACTGGGCCGATTGCCGAAATTCAAATTGCGTTTTTCATGTCTCGAAAGCACAATTATATATATTAGATATACATTAGATTTATATATAACATTGTTCTAATATAGGTATTTTGACACAAAATCGGACTTTTTCTGAAATGACATGCCAATTTTTTTCCATATTTCGATTCTAGACTCATTATGCCTAAATATTAAATTTTGTAAAATTTAGTGTGAAATTTACAGAGAAATTCAAAAATTTATCTTGGCACATTTTTGTTCAGTTTGCACCAAGAATAATTCACTTGGCGAACATCTTAATATATGGCAAATTATTTTCCTTTCCCTTTTTACACTGTGTGTGAGAACCTAACTTTCTAAATAGCAAAGGAAGAAGCAAATAAGTTTAATAAAAAAATTTAAAAAAAAAAAAAAAAAAAAAAAAGAAGAAGAAGATTAGTAAATATATACCAAATTCAATTAACATAAAGGAACTAAAATTTTGAGAGATGACGATTTAAAAACTACTTGTGCAATTTTTGCAAAACTTGGCAGTTTGGTAAAATTTGAGTCGTAGAATTGAAATATGAAAAAAATTGGCATGTCATTTCAGAACAAGTCCGATTTTGTGTCAAAACACCTGCATTAGAACAATGCTATATATAAATCTAACACATATTCTAAGATTCGCTTTTGAGAATGATAAATGCAAGTTTAATTTTGTCAATTGGCCCTAATAAAACAGGAGATATAGAATTGTCTCTCTCTCTTTTTTTTTTTTTGTGTGTGTGTGTGTGTGTGTGTGTGTGCAGTGTATACAAAGGTTAATTATAATATAGATGGCACTAGGTTTATATGGCACCGTTATTAATTTCACAACCAGAACATAATGCACTAACTTAAATAATCTAATAACTCATAACACTTTTTTTTTTAGCAAAAAAGGGTATTAGCCCAGATGGGCTATTAATTTCATTTTTGCGTTGGTTCACTATAAATGGCGTTTCACTTTTCAAATTGTTGCCACCAAATATTAGAGTCCTGTGTTATATTTAAAGAAATTAAATAATGAAGAATCTGCATAAATGTATGTATGTTTTTGCATTGTGATAAAACAATGGTACCTAGAGCCATCAAATTTTGAATAACATATGTGCATCTGGAAGCCTAAATTTGAATTTGAAATTTGTTTTATTATCAATTTCATATTTTGTAACACTTAGAGAATTTTGATTAACAAACTCAAAGATTTCAAAGCGAGCAATGGCAACAATATATGGGGAAAAACAATATTTTTTATCTCCAGCGTGCAAGACTGTGTAACAGAAATTCTAAAGATATGCTCATTTAAAAATTATTTTGTGATATTGCTGTTTAATTGAATTTTATGGTTTAAGTGCGAAGAATATGATATTTAATAAATAAAGGTAACACACAAAACGTTAAAAAATGCTCCTTTGGGCGTAATGCACATTGAATAAAAAAGAAGGGAGGGACAGTTCTGTACGCCTCTTTTTAATTGCCTGATTGATGAAATCCAACCTACGTTTTCCATGTCTTGAAAGTTCATCTTATAATACATACTGGATTTATATATATGACTAACCTAACAAACATATTTCAAAAGAAAATCAGATTTTTCTGAAATGAAAATGGCAATTTTTTGTGTTTTCTTTCTATACTTTTTTTTTTTTTCTTTCCTATACCTTGTTATAAGTTATGCTGCAAAATACCAAGTTTCTTAAAAATTATAAAATTCTTATTTTTATTTACTTATTTATTTATTTTTTGGTAGCAGCACTCAAAATGTTAATTGAATCTGATTTACAGTTGATATTTTTAAATTAAATTTTCTCGCTCTTTCCCCCCCTTCAATTAAAAATGCTTGATAAGAAATTTAAATTTAATATTAGTTTAAAAGCAACTGTAAAACCCAAATTCAGAAACTATGTGCTGTTTCTGGTTTTACTGCAACATCATTTCTTTTCTTTTCTTTTTTTCTTTTTTTTTTTTGTCTTTGACATGGCTATATAACTTGATATTACTATTGCCTGATTTTCAGCTGCCATGGTTAACGATGCCACATCATTGGGCCCAGGTTCGAATCTCGGGGAAGAATGCTTATTTGTAACCATATCATATTTATGCAGCTTGGAGGCACTGAAAATACTGGCAGTGAGAGACCATCAGATCTGTCCAATGGAGTGTTTTCCATCAAAATCCAGGCAAAGCTGCATATTTAGTACAGTGGGGCTGTACCAGTATGACCAATTGTGAACTTCTGGTGTTCCATCTACTTCTGCCTGTACCTGTTTGAACTGCAAATATTCCTCAACTATTCTCTATGTCTTAAAAAATTTTCCAGAGCATTTCTTATGTCACATAGATATTTCTCATTTTTAATGTCTTAACAATTAATTAATATTGTCTCATTTTTTACTTTTCATTTTGGAAATAAATTAATAAAAACATTGATACAGTTTGATTGACTGGTTCTGATGGCTATATTATTTGACAAGGAATTACAATTTACAAAACTTAAATGTAATAACAGGAAATAAATTATTTCTTTTAATACCGCTCCGTGGCCAAGTGGCTAGCACATCACACAGCTACACCACAGGTCTGGGGTTCGATCCCCAGGTTGGGCAAGGTCGACTCAGCTTTTTATCCCTTGAATGGGTTGATCAAATAAGTACCAAGTTTGCTTGGGGACTACACCCCGGAGCTCAAGATCACGAAAGCAGATTTGGGGGCAATGCAGGCCGCGGCCCACTAGGGCTGTTGCACCACTGAGTTTAGTTTTATTTCTTTTAATAAAATTTATAAATAAAAGGTATACTTCTAGAAAGGCTAACCAATACTAATTAATGCTCGCAACTACAGATGAAAAACTCTCCTTAAACTATAACAAATCATTAGGATAGAGCTTTTTTAAATCTGATACATTCATCAGTGGATATTTTTATGAAGCTATGCATATTTTAAAACAAATAAAACCTGCACCTTTTTTGGGGAGAGGATAGAATAATTTGGCTGAAAATTTACAAACATTATATTTAACTTCTCTGAGCGAATAATGAATAATTGCTAAGCTGAATATAATTCAAACAAGAAACACAGTAAAACCTTCATAATGAAGAACATAATTTTGCTATTTAAAAGATTATTTGGTCAAGAAATTATCTGTTAATTTTCTATTATATTTATTTGAATATTTTCTTACAGAATAAGATATCTTGTTTGAAATAGACTTAGTGCACAGGCAGTACAGGCAGTACTACTATTATTCAATCATACAATAAAAATTCTTCAAATTAAATTTTTTTTTTTTTTTTTAAATGCACTTAATACATACCTGGTGGTATTCCTTCGTTCGTTTTAAAAGACAATTTGCAAAAGATTTTTGCCTTTCTAGTAAAAACTGAGGGCTCATATGAATGAAAGCCTTAGACTTGGATGCTTTACGAATATCTTTTGCAGATGAATTGCTTTCAGATCCTTGACTGGCATCTACATCAAAATGAACACTGATTTTTAAAAAAGTATTATATTAAATTTAGAAATAGACTTTTAAATACTATGCACAGAATATAACTATAGTATGCATACTGAACAATAACTATTTAATTAAAAGTGAATTTTGGAATATCTTAATGTCTTTCAAAACATCACAATACTGCCTGGCTTTAATGAAAAAAAAAAAAATCTAAAATATTTATATGTCACATGATAAAAAATATAAAAATTTGTTTCTAAAAAGTTAAAATTTAATTGACTATTTTATTAATTTCGTAAGTACACCTAAAATAATCAGTTTCACTTAGCCATAGATGAAGACATTTTTATTATGCTGATACTTTTCTTAGCCAAACAGCAGATTTGAATTGGCATCTGCATCGAAGTTACAAAATGCATGAAAGATGTAGATGGTCTCAGTGAATCTTGAAAAGATCTTAAATGCTAATATTATAACCTCACTGCCTTTTAGACAGGATATTTTAAAAATAAACAGTTAAATTTCAAATATATAGCATAAATATTTAAATATGCAAATCTTAAACATAAATATACTTAAAATATTGATCAAGAATATTTGAAAAATGTAGTAGTTAGTTTCAAATATGCAAAATAAATATTTAAATATGCAAATCTTAAATATATATATATGCCATTTTAAATACTGATCAATCTAAACTGCAGTATCTTATATAATAATCATATGGACGTAAATATGATTTTAAATATTGATCCTGCACATACAAGGTTTTATCTTAATTAATCAAGTTTTCTTATCAGTTTACCTTTACTTTCAATTATGACCAAAATGCAAATTGTTAAAATATATAACCACAGATTCTTAAGTTTGAGAGAAAGCTTTTGGCAGCCTTGCTCATCATTTATTTGATTTGCAATTGTTTGGCATTATCCACAAACTCTGCGGTTGATTATCGTTATTGTATAAATTTTATTGTAATCATAGAGTTTATTAATAAAAACTTTGTGCTTGCTGCAGTTAGAAGGTCAGACAGGATGATAAGTGAACTAACTGTCTTTATGTGTCTAGTTGTTTGGCATTTTAGATGTAAACATCCACTTCAGAATTGCTCAAAATAAACTAGACAATTTTATGGAAATAGTTTTAGTAGATTAAGGTAAAAGAATTTGTAAAAACAAAATGTTCCTTTTTATAAGGGCTTGTTATTAGTAATGCAGAAAGTCCAGTTAGTAATATGTTCGTTATATTTTAATAAATAAAAAAAAAGTGCTGTACCTTTATGTCTCAGAATGAGAGAGAAAATGCAAAATACAATTGGTCATTTTGGCAAATAATATTTTTCTTGTTAAGTAAAACAACACTTGTTATATTTATCACTGCTTCATCAAATTATTAATTAAGCATATATCATGGAATTTGATGTGTTAACATAAGAAATTTTTTGTACTGAAAATGCTAGAGCATAATGAATACTTTACTATAGACATTTTGCTTTAGAGCATATAAAAAATTAAATTTTGTACTTTTGGAACCTAAAACTGTTCTCATAGAATTTTCTACCTTATTCTGAGAAACTCTCTAATAAAAAATACACACCCAAGATTAATATTTATGAAAATTAAGCTTGTAGCAATTTTTTTCAAACATAATATAAAGAGTGATACAGATCAATATCTTACACGTAAACCTACAATAAAATATATTTCATTAAAAAATAAGTAAACGGTACTGTAAATTACAAAAAATCAAGATCTTTAAAACAAGTTATTGAAGCCTATTCGTATTTTGACAGAACTAATTAAGAAAATTTAAAGCCTGTTTTCTAAATTTAGCACAGGCCTACCAGTGCGCGAGAGGTAAAGACGCTGAACACTGGTAGTTCGGTCAGAGGTTCGAATTCTGCAAACGGGCTGGCTGCATGGGTGTTTTCGTGGTTTTCCCCATGTGTAACGTGTATACGAGCGAGTTTCCCTTAGAAAGTCCTCCACGAAGGCATCCCTCCCCTTAGGCAGATAGTCCTCGAGGCTTTGTCTTAATTAAATAACATAACCTAAACCTAAATTTAGCACACAAGGCATAAAAGCAAAATAAAATGCTAACTGAGAAAAATAAGACAAAATTTGTCTTTTGAAAAAAAAAATATTCATTAACACCATAGAAAAGCAAAATCAATCTTTTGTAACATAAAAAGTAACTGCATTCACAATAAATCCTACCATTATAAAAAAATTATATAACATCAACTTGCACACAAAAACACATAAAAAAAATTTTAAAAGAACTATTAAAAAGAAAGCTGCACCTTATAAAACACTGTATAGTTAATACCCCTCAACATTACATACATATAATAACATTGTTCACCTTAGCAAAGAGCTCTAATAATTTGTATACCAGTATAGTACTTTGGAGTTGTAAACAGTTTACAGTTATTAGAAGAGAATTTACAAAGGAATAATCTTAATGTCAATATAACTGGACATTCCCAAATATAATAATTAATATCTGCCTTTTCATTGAATTTTTTGCAATTACATTGAACATTCTCTTTGAAAAAACTATTTATATTTTGTATATGCAGATGTTCTAGTATTTTTCTTATCCCCTGCCCTTGAAATTACTGGAAGACTTTTAAATTATCTTTTTATTTAGCACTTTTCTATGAGTAACACAATGCATCTACTATAATTTAATCTGTATTTACTGGTGATATAGCAATTGCTAAAATTTATTAAGTGATGCGGTCAAATCATAATGATTAATTCCTTTTCCAGAAAGGTCACCACATATTTTTCCTAAAAAGTGCATTATTTGCTCAGAAAGAAACAGTTTGATACAGCAATATTTAATTTATTCAATTCATTGAAAATCATCAATGAAATATTCCAACCAGTAAAGTCTCCCACTAAATTAGGAAGACACTTTTTATTTCATCCTTTGCTTCATTAAAATAAAATGCAGCAAATGGATACAATATGCAAATCACTTTTATTGCTTCCATCAAGAGACAATGAAAGAAAGGCAGATTTTGCAAAATACTTATCAGATGTTTTAGGTGAACATTTGCCACCTCACTAAGAATGGCACAAGTTTTAGTTTTAGCACATAACTATTTTTTTTCCCAATATCTGAATCAATAAACTTTTTCCTAAATAGAGAACCAACATGAACTGCAGAATTCAAGGCAATATTTTGTTCAATCAAAATCATGTAAAGAAACATTTGGCCTGAATACTATTTTAAGATTAGCAAAGTTGTTGACTTTCTAAGTTTTATTCAAACTTTCAACTTTTGATTACTTTGATGTTCCCCCTCCATACTATCACTTTTTCCTAGCATCAGAAAATTACATTCAAATTCATATACAAAATCCCTAAATATGTCCCTTACATGTTTCTTTAATGCAAAGAAACTAATTCTTGTATGCTGGTCTAAAATAATGGCAATATTGTTTTTTGCTCATTTTATCAAAATTCTTTCAAACTATGTACAAGCAATATTTGACACAACTTAATATATTTTAGAATCAACAATTCAGATCAGGTTTCCAGGTTAGCTGGATGAAATTCTGACAAACAACTTCTGAAACACTGTTAAACATTGAAGTAAGATATGTTAAAATAAACAAGTGAAAAGATGTTTCATATAATGTTATTACATTACCAATATTTTAACAGTACCACAATACTGTTTATATATTTGAAAAATATCATGAAGAAATTCGCAAATTACCGCCTCAAATGTTACCAAGCTTAAGTTGTTTAAAGCTTGTAAAATGGTGATTAAACGGCAAACCTAGCAACACATAATGTTAAAAATGTGAAAGTGAGGAAATGTTCAAATATTTCTTCCCTCTCACTGGAAAAAATGAGACTTGTCTGATCATTTGGTGAAGAGTGATAACTCCAAAATCTACTAAAAATAGTTGCAAAAATAAATTTGATGACAAATCACCATATTAGAATGATTTTTGTCTTGAAAAAATCATGAAAAATTCAGAAAAGTTAATATACGAGTACATGACCACTTCCATACAATAATTTACAAACATCATCAGTACCTGCTAATTTAGTCATCAGTACCTGCTAACTGAATTTAAAATGCTAACGGAAGAAACACCGTAAATATATTATATCATTGCAAAACTTCATATATACATGAATTAAGATTCTCAATGATGATTATCATAAAATGTAATAAAAACTTTACACTTGGGACTAAAGAATGATGTGCAAGTGAAATTATATCACTCGATAAAAATTACAAGTGTCAACAAATAACAAGTACAATCACTGCACTAAATTTTATTCAGAAACTTTTTTTTAATATCACAATTTTGTTACTTTTCTGTTAATTCCATCATACATTTTTTTAGCATAATGGACATTGAACATTATCACACGTTACTTTCAGTACAATTTAACTGCTTCTTCTCATAATAATTATTTGTATACATAAATCTTACATTTTTAATGTAATTTTAAAAAAGAAATTTACTTGCTGAGCATAATTGCAATAACTGTGTTTTCCACTGTGCAAATATTTTAAATATTTGAGATTATATTTCATTTAATAGTTGACTTAACAATTGTTGATTTCATTAATCATAAGTATGTTTAGTACCAGTTTGTAAAAAAATTTTTGTGCACTTTTCACAGACAATAAATCCTTATTTTTTTTTTCTTTCAACTCATCTAATATACCTATGGCTAATAATGTCCATTGCTATGAGTGGGAACATTCGTCCTTGCATTGTAATAAGCCACAGTTGCTTGCCACAGTGCGAGTATAAAAACTTGAACTTTTTTGCCGAAACTTACTACTTACTTCTCACTTGCCTTTTCATGGCTGATGTCTGAAGTCGACTCATGAGTGTAATTGTTTATATATTTAGCCTCTTGTGAGATGTGATATCTTTTCTAAAAATGTTAAACGAAGTTGGTTTTAACTTTTGTTTTAACTGAAGTTTTGTAATTTTTAGCCCTTTCTGATGGAGTCTAATGGTGATAAAACATAACCAAATACCTTGCACATATTTTAATAATAAACTTTAAGAAAGTATATTTATTCAAAATTGCTATAAAAGCTTTTATTTAGTTTTGCAATGCTTTATAATTTAAAAATATTTCTGTGTTGTATTTCTTTAGGGGATACTTTTATGAATTTTTATTGACAATCAAAATCTTACATAAATGCCACACGGAAAAAGGTTAGGCAGTGTTGTGAACTTAACAAAAAAGTAACACATTACATACTACACACTATCAGTGACCTTAGCATTCATTTTGTTTAGTTTTTCAATATTTTGTTTAATGAAATTAAATGAATTTTTATAATGCCATTTTTGCAAGATCTTTTGTACTTAATTGACTGTAGATTCAACAACAGGCTGTTTACAACTTGAATTTACATATAGTGCACTGAATTGAGCAACAAGTCTTATCAATTCGTTTTGCTGCATCATAAATACTTTGGTCATAAAAAAAAATTGTGTTTTGAGCCCAAAAAGAAATAAATCTAGAGGTATACTAAAGAGAATATGTTATAATTTCATACAATATGAATACATAGTTATTTTAGAAATGACTCAAATAAGCTAAGAAGTTTGTAAGAAACTCTTTCTGTATGTAAAAAATCAAGAAGTAAAATTACAGCTTAATTTATCATAAACTGATTTAAATAAATAAATAAAACTTAGAATTCTAGATAAATATGCACATCTGTTGCAAAAACAACACAATTTTCAGATGTAGTAATAGAATACTTTAGAATTATTAACTACTCATATGAAAAAAAAAGTCAATTAATAAAAGCTAAAAAGATATTTCAGGTATTTTTAAGAATAATTTTAATTATGAACAACATATTTACAAATAAAATACGATTTATTTAACTTCTCAATGCAACAAAAAACTTAAATTACCAATAAACAATAAATTAGAATTAAAGAATTAATTTTTTTAACTTAATTTTTATACATTATTTTATTATTCGCAGCATCAAAATGTATAATTTAAATTTGTTCACAGCCATTCAGTTCCTTTAGAGGTTCAAAATATGAATTAATAAGGAAAAAAGTGAGTGTTATTATATAAATCAGAAACTGTGCTAATTCCATACTACTGATAACTCAGTTAAGATGAGAAAAGTGATACTTCCACATCTGTATCATTACCAAATAATATAATAAATAAAATTTTATACATTATAAAAATACAATATAACATTTTTAATTAAATTCCATAATAAAAAATCTGTTCGAATAATACTTAGTAATGTTTTAAAAATATATGTGTGGAGGGATAGAGAGAGAAAGGTATACACAATAAGGATGAAGATACATTAATTTACACACTTTTTTTAATTAAGAATTTAAAGCATGCTTATAATATATAAATTTGCTTTTAAACTAAACTTCATAAGATCTTAATATTTTATGTTTATGCTATGTTGATATATTAAAAATTTTACCTTCATTTTCAGCAAAGTTAGGAGAAATGACTAGCTGATAATCAAGTCCTCTTTTCTTTTTGTTGGTAAAAGCTGAACTACAGTTTTCTAAACTTATACTGTATGCTGATGGTAAAACTGCAACAATCTGACCTAGATGAGTTTCAGTAAAAGACCTGGGAAAATAATAACTTTTAATATATTAATTTTACCATGATCATACACTATATTTGTATGTGATTTATAATTACTTTGCATTATATATTGTTTTAAGTTATAATTAAAAGTAAAATAATTTTAATGTTCAGAAATATAGAGGAAAATAGGGAGGAAAAACAAGAGAAAAGAAAAAAACTGGAAGAAATGATTTATGATATTGCTAAAGGAGATAAATTTATTAATAAGCATTTAAATTATTTGAAAACAATTATTTTATTATACCTACGATAAAATACAAAGTAAATAAATCCAGCAAAAAGACTGAAAGAATTCTTATTCATTTAGGGATATGATATTTCATTGAAACCCCCCATATGCCTAAAAAGAAAATGATCATTATAATTTAAGATTTCATAAAGAAATTATTTTTTTAACTTTTCAGTTAAATAATAGATTTTAGGAAAATTTGTACATCAGGGATGTCAAACTCATAGGTACACTTGGGCCAAACAAACAAGGTTTAACTTTAGACGGGCCGCAAAAAAAAAAAAAAAAAAAAAAAAAAATCAATATTCATAGAAGCGTAGATTTATTTTGAATAATACAATAATAAACATATATATATATTTATATAGAAAAGAACAAGAAAAATTTAATGTTTACGTCCTGATACTTGACATCTCTTCTCTGCTATTATCTTTCCTATTTCGGGAGAAATTTTGTTTGCAGTGATAACTTTCAACACTGACCCAAGGTGAGCATCATTAATACGGTTTCTAATAAGAGACTTATTACCTTTCATGACTGAAAATAACTGCTCGCACAGATAAGTGCTACCAAACACGGAAATAATTTCATATGCGAACTTTCGAGTATTTTCAAACCTGGCTGGTAAATATTTGTAAAATTCAGGCACGCCCACTTCAATGAATTTTGCTTTCAAATTTGAGTTGCATTGAATCTCGATCACCTCCATTTGCATATGGCTGGGTACTGAGTCAATACTTATTGAGAAAAATCAAAGAAAAAAAAAAAAAAAAAACAAAAAACAAAAAAAAAAAAAAAAACAAAAAAAAAAAAAAAAAAAAAAAATTGTCTTCGAGGGAACTAAAATCATTAAACCTCGTTTCAAATTCAGTTGTTAAATTTGCAATTTTTTCTGCGTATTTTTGATACGAACAAATATCATCTAAACTTGATTTCTTCATGCTGCACGTCGCGAAGTGCGTCAAATCTTCATTTTTAAGTTGTTTTTCCCAAAGAACTAGTTGTTTGACATCCTTGGTGTACATATTACACTTTATATATACTATTATTATATTACAATATACTTACATATTCCATTTTATACAACATTTAGTTTTACTCATTTTCTTTGTCCAATTGCATCTTCCTCTTTTCTTTAATTGGTAGCTTTTAACAAAAGAAATTCCACTCACTTTAGAGTAGATTTTACCAAGTCTGGGACCCAAGCTTTATTACTGGACATTTACACATAACATTTAACTGGCTTTTCTGAACCTTGTATTTCTTAAAAGGCTCATGGATTCTCAGATGATGCAAGAGTAACAGCTTGATTTTAAAATCCCTTCCTGCACTCGCATATGGCAAGAGTGCGAGATGACCAGTCATGGGTTTGTGATCAGAAATTGCATTCCGTTTTACAGGAATGTAGGTCCTCTTTGGCACCTTTCCATAAAGAGACGACCTTGTCTTGTCTCATGTCAATTCCTAAGCTAGGCAACACTAAGAAAACATGAGCTTTTGGAATTACGCAGCAAAAGTCTCAGCTGCCTTAGCAATCCAAATCTGCAGTCTCTCCATCAAATTTTCCTTCTCTTTAAAATTATCAAACTATTCCCTGCTAACTTTGGAGCTTTCTTTGTTTTCCATATGTATACATGACAGTTTACTTATGACCTTTACAACCTTACTCACAACCTAATTGCCACACGAGACCTTTGCTTTCTTGCAAATAAAGATATCAGTTATCTATCAGTTCCCTTCTAGTCTTTTGTTTTTTTTTGGGGGGGGGAAGACCTATCCAGACAAAAAACAGTTTTTCAACATCTTTCAGAACTCTTGCTCTTGATAAACTCTGGTTCTTGAACTCTTGTTCTTGTTTTTATAGAATCCTTGCAATATTGCTTTGATACTCTTACGACAGCTTTTGCTTCATCTTGGCTAATTATTTCTTCTTTAATATTACTTAAATCATCTTATAAAATCTTATATAATGTAAATATATAATATATAAATATATATATCTTAAAGTAGATTTCTTTTAAAATCTTGCGATGCTGACTATTCACACACTTCATTCATGCTTTTTAATAATTTCCATCTTAACTGGCATCATAATGATCTTTTTCTGACAGTTTTCACTTGCAACCATTTTCTTCATAGGGGTCATTGCTGCAGTATAGTTACTAAGAAGCAATCGTTGCACTTGAAGGCACTTAAAAAAGAGATTTGTGCAGACAATTTCTCATTGCTATAGCACTGACTAATACGAATAAAGCACACTGATTGAGATTAAATGCAGATAATTGCTCACAATCCCATTATAAGAGAGAAAAAAAATTGATTTCATTGTGATCACATAATGCACAGTAGACTAAGCATAACAGGAACTACTTGTATTTCAAAACTTTACTATTAAGTTAAAATTTATTAAAAAATGTTGCTTGTCCTGTGAGACTCACGAACCAAGTTGCTGACAATTCAGGTTTTAATGTATTATACTTCCAATACTGAAAGGGGGAAACTAGATAAACTAATAGATATGCTCTTTTACACTGACTATCAATAAGTATTTGGACACCTATGCAAATGACGATATCTGCGGTCCTAAGGTACGTCACAGAATCCGCCGGTATATATCGTGTAGGAAACAGCATCGGCTTTAGTCGCATGCAAGATGCCTCGCAGTTCGGAGCTCTGTGATTTAGAGAAAGGTATAATTATCGGGTATCACAAATGTGGCTGATCCTTAAGGGACATATCTAGCGATCTGAAGTACTCAAAATCGACAGTAGCCTATGTGATTAAGAAGTGGAAGGTGAGCGGTGATTGTCGAAATGTGCCCCGAGTCGGCAGACCAACGAAACTGGGAGATACAGACCGACAAGTGCTGTGCTGTCCAGAGAAATTCGGAAGAACCGCACCCAACCAATGGCCCTCATCCGCGAGGAGTTTCAACAGGCATCTGGGAGTATTGTTTCAATGAATAACATCCGTAAGGAAGCACATCTGCTTGGTTTTCATGGTCGTGCTGCTCCCATAAGCCTTTGATCACAAATTCCAACCACACTGCTCGGTTAATGTGGTGCAAAGCACATCGAAATTGAACCATAGATCACTGGAAATAGGTTCTTTGGAGTGACAAATCAAGGTTCACCCTTTACCATTCAGATGGCAGGGTCTGGGTCTGGCATCTACCTGGAGAACGTCTCCTGCCAGAATGCATTGTGCCAACAGCCAAGTTCGGCAAAGGTAGAATTATGGTCTAGGGGTGTTTCTCCTGGTATGGGCTGGGACCCTTGATAGCCATTCATGGTAAGCTCAACTCCGATGCCTACTGCACTATTTTGGATGACAATGTGCTTCCTACGTTGTGGCAGTTTTACGGCTTGAACCCCTGTTACTTTCAGGACAACAATGCCAGTTGTCATGTTTCGACATTAACCAAGGCTTGGTATGGTGCCAATGGAGTCCATCGAATGGACTGGCCTGCCCAGAGTCCAGACCTGAACCCTATCGAGAACCTCTGGGACGAGTTGCATCGCCGAATTCAGGGGTGCACTACTCGTGCAAAATCGGTGAAGGAACTTCTATGTCTTCTCCAAGCCAAGTGGAAGAAAATACCACTAGCTGTGATACAAAGACTTGTGGAAAGTATGCCCCGGATGGTCCACGCTGTAATTACCTCTTGTGGAGGCTCTACCAACTATTGATTTTGAATAAAGTTAATTTTTCTTTTCTATCACAGGTGTCCAAATACTTATTGGTAGTCAATGTATTTCTGTAATGTGCAAATTTTATATGTGGAAAATGAAGTGATCAAGTTCTTACAGAGCTGCAGAGTGAAATGATAAAAAGGTTGAAAACTACTCTGTCTTTCAATAGACAGAGCAATATGCATAATGAACTGCTTATGTGAAGTTCTGTGCTAAGAAGGAAGTCTATTCTAGTGGGAAAAAAAAGGAACCTATTTCTTCAAGCTGAGTTTTTCTACAGCGGAAGAAAGGAATTGAAAAATTAGAGTTTTAAATAAATAAATAAAGTAGTTCAGTTTTTGAAAAGAACTTTTAAACCTGTATTTCTTTCTTCAACTTCTGTCCACTAACTAAGAGACATGAGGTACATAACAGATTTGAAAAACTGTCCATATGAAATCATAAAATAGACACCACATATTTTTTTTTTCATTCCTAACTGCACCTATTAGCTTCAAATCATATAAAATAATGCTAAAGATGTTGCTATAATTGTAATTATTTTCATATGATAATATGCCAGCACTGCTCAGTTTATTTAGTCTATTAACTTTAAAATTGGCATTTCGAGGTGCTTTTCCCCTTCCCTTTTGGCTTACCTCATAACTGTAGTAACAACTGCTGCAGACAGATGATCAAGTCCTCTGGCTAAAATCTTCTAATCTTTCTACGCAGTGATGCTGACACATATTACACTCATTAGTTAATATGATCACAATTTATGATCTTGAACTGCCTATTCTAAAGTAACAGAGCCTAGCTCATTTCAGTTAAATAAATATGTTAGTATAGCTAGGAGTGTGTAAAAGTTTCCAGCACTACCTTTAAACAGCTTTATTAAATTATTTGAAGATAAGTAGTACAGAAATTTTTCAGGAGTACATAGCCTGACACCTAGTTGCTCAATAAAACAAGTTTATACTTCATTTGGCATGGCTGTCAACAAGATACACACTCAAGATTACATGCTATTCCTTTTCAACCTCCGCTACAGAAGCCAAAAGAACGATTGACAAAGCATATAGGAAGGACAGCACTTGTACAAGTGTAATGAGAGAATGGTTTGCTAAGTTCAAGAAGAGAAATTTCGACCTGCAAAACAATCCAAAATGTGGAAGACCACAAGAATTTTAAAATGATGATTTGGCAGTGCTACTCGAAGCAGATCTGTGCCATACGGCCAAGGAATTGGATGAGAAGCTTGGAGTTGATGATTTGGCATTGCTAGACATCTGCAAACACTTGGCTTTTGAACAGGTAAAGCTTTTGAACAGGTAAATCTGCAAACACTTGGCTTAAACACAGGTAAAGTGTTCAAAACAGGCAAACACAGGCAAAATGTTTGCCTGTTTTGAACACTTGGTATATTCAAAAAAGGCAAATACATCCCCCATGAGCTTACAGGACACCATATTGAGAATATGAATACGTATGTGTCACTTCTTGGTTTGCCATAAAATAAAGTCTTTTTTATGGAAAACTGCAACAAGAGATAAAAAGTGGGTTTACTACAGTAACTCTAACTCAAATTGGATCTTCTACCACACACACTATAAAGCCCCGACATCGTTCCTTCGGACTTTTACATTTTTTCCACACCTGCAGATACATTTTGCTAGTGCTTATCTTCCATCCTGCACAGGATGTCCGAAATGAGGTTGCTCTGTTTTTGGACTCGTGGCCACTAAGTTTCTAGGCCAAGGGCTTTGAAAAACTATCAAAACACTGGCAGAAAATCATAGAATTACAAACTGAATTACAAACTATATAAATCACATAAATATTTCAATTTTTTATGAATAGCTTTTTTAACACTTCTGACTTTTTAATTTCAATGGCAAGGAGAAATCTTCTGACTGAACAGAAATTCGTACAACACACAGATTTAATATATATAATAAAAAATATTAATGATTAGAAGTACAACTTATATGCAAATCAAGTAAACCTCCTAGATGCAATAAAAACAAACAGCAATCTCCACTCAATATTTGATTAAATCTCAGATTTCTAGAACTCGATCTGATTGTCAGATGGGTGAGATAAAACCACAACAACATACAACAGCAGTTAATGAATATTAAAACTGCATTTACTCATTGTTCATGTATGCAGTATTGTACACAGTATACCTTAAGTTATGCTTCAACAAAAAATACACCAGCCAAACCAGCATATCTTCAACTCTGACAATGGAAGAACTGCAGCATATTGAAATGCAAACTTCCATCTCAGAAAGTGGCATTTTTAGTAAACAGAATTTGATCACAGAAATTTAAGTATGGAATAAAAGCACCAAAGATAGACAAGCTAATCAATGTTGATGATCAAAATAGCAAATCACATCTTGCAATGAATGATAGCTCGTGTCCAGCTATTAAAGATCATACAGTTACAGATGTGTGAAAGAAAATGCATCACCTTCATTTTTTAAGCCCAAATTCACAAAAATATTCAAAAAGGGTTGAACAATTACACAATCATATGAAAAGTTGTATCAGTTATCAGAAGAAATGTATGAGTGAGCACTTAATCCACTCCCAGTAATTGCATCAAATGTGCATAATTATAAAAGTGCTGTAGAGAGAAAGGATTGTCATTTATATATCTTGGGTGGAGATAATGAGATAGCTTCTTTTGTGTTAACTAACTCTGTGTAAAAAGAAAAAGCATTGGGCTGGCACTGTCTACTGAAAGTTTTTTTACATCTATAATATCCAAAAGTATTAGTTGTAATCAATCCAGTGTATCTCATTTGCTAACAAAATTCTGTCAAACTGAGTAAACAGGAAGGCCAGAAGTGAGCACTGAAAGAAATCTGGTTTTGGTTTGGTTTGGTTTGGCTTATTAGACTATGGCAAAGCACTCGAGGGCTATCTGCCTTAAGGGAGGGATGCCTTCGTGGAGGACTTTTTAAGGGAAACTCGCTCATATACACATTACACATGGGGAAAACCACGAAAACACCCATGCAGCTAGCCTGTTCGTGGGATTTGAACCTCGGACCGAACTACCAGTGTTCAGCGACGTTACCGCTCGGCCGCTGGTGGGCCCGAAAGAAATCTGTGCGGTGGTATTCTTCTTTCTCTCAGAAACAGAAAGCAAAAAGGCAACCTCAGTGAATCTTGGGGCTGAACAGAAATCAAAGAAGTGAATGAAAGCAGTAACATTGTTTGCAGATATTTGATTTGAAAAAGAAATAATGGGACACAGCATATGAAGATAACCTTCACTTATTATAAAAATGAGATACCAATTATATAAAGTGATCCAAATAGCATGTGAAAAGCACTTCTGAGCAATAGAAAGCAGTTGTATTCTCATATGAATCTAAATTCAGTCTCAGTAGTTCAGATGGTCAATGGGTATTTCACCATCGGGCCAATGAAGAACTTCGTACTGACTGTATTATCTCTAGGGTGAAACATCCAGTTTCTCAAGTAGTCTGGAGATGTTTATGCAAGGGATGGGTCAACTTGAATTTCCTCAATATGAATGTCCAGGTTGTGACATCGTAAATTTGCCAGTTTAAGGAAATAGCACTGGTGACGCATAAATTCCTTTATTCACAACACAAGATGACACAGAAACAAAATTTAATTAATACATTTAGAAAACCTTTGAGAGATATCCAAGTTCATGGCACAATCAAAGATGTTAGGCAAGATGGCACTCGTCACCCACTCGACGAATAATAAAAATCTCCACACCTTCGCTCGCTAGCGGAGCTTCCCAACTCTCCCTGCGACAGATGTTGAAACCACTTCTGTTGTACTTGTGCAGGCACAGTACTCTGTAAAGGTATACAAAGACATTCTGCAGAGGAAACTCTTGCCTGCTAGTCAATATCAATAATTATCTGTCTTTGAATGCATTTTCCAGGATGACGCAACACCATACTACAGAGCCAAAGTGGCAAGCATCACATGCATGAACAATGCACATCAATTACATTATATATTGTGTTTACTGTTCTTATCTTCATGTCCATTTTCCAGTTTTACAGGAAAAAAAAAAAATTGCAGCAGGATTGTAACATCACTGCATGGCCATGGAGTGTTAACAGTCTGGATCTAAATTTAATAGAAAACCTATGGAGCCCGATGAGTCTAGAGGTGTTAAGCAAAAATAAAAAATAATAATAATTTTTTTTTAAATAGATCGCTGAAGCAGTTCAAGGAAGTATTTATCCAAATCTAGTACCATAAAATACCCCTTGAACATATCTGGAAATCAATTTTGTCAATGCCCAGTCATTGTGCAGCCATTATTAAGGCCAGTGGAGACCCCACTAAATATTAATCGCAGCCAATATTACTACAGTTTCTATTTTCACTTGTGATAGGTGAACTGCATCATTTATTTTGCTAATATCCAGTTTTGTTAATGATGGACGCCGAAGTGGAATAATAATAGCAATAATAATAATAATAAATTATAATAACAATAATACGCCAAATTTATACTTTTCAGAAAATTCTATATAGCTGAGATGATTGAAAATAAGAAACAGTTGAATACGGAGTGCAATTTTCACGATAAACAAGTACAGTACAAAGTCTAATCTAGACGTCCATAATCTGGAATGATCTATAATCTGGACCTCAAAGCTACAAACTTTCTGCGCATGCATAAACGCATGATGCGCTTATGATAGCATGTGTAAAGTTATTAAGCTTAATACCTTATGCATGTGCTTAATACCTTTACACATGCACATAATACATTTACGCATGCACGTTTAATGTATAAACGGACGGTATAAGCTAGGCTAAAATTATCTAATTACCTATTTCAGTTAATGTTGCAGATTGCGTTGTTCCTTAATCTTTTTATTGGATCTGGCTTATTATTTTTTGCAGACTGTTAGAGCAATTTTATAAAAAGTAAGCTTGAACTTTCGATTATGTCAAAAAGAGTTTCCGATTCTGGAGCTGCCAAAGGATCTACAAAGCGAAAGCAAGTTTCAAAGTCCATCAAACAAAAAGTGGAATTGCTGCAAAAAATGGATAAAGGCATGAAGAAAGTGACAGAGAGGTTAGTGAAAAACAAAAAAATTTCGTTTGACAAGTTGGTCGGTATTCTCAGCACAGCAATTACAGGACTTGAACAGTGGAACTTTGTTAGTGAGCAAGAAATTATGTCTGCTTATAAAATTAAAGAGAAAGGTATTAGCACATAAAACGAAGCAACTTAAACAACTTACATTGAAAGAAATGTTTAATAAAGGAAACAAATAAATATTAAGGCTTTTTTTTTTTTTTTTTTTTGTAAATTTTGATATTTGCTCTTTATTTTATAAATTACGGCTTCATATTTTTAACTTTATAATTTCTGCATGCCATCTTACCAGATTTAAATCGATGATCTATAATCCAGAATTGCCGAAGTCCTGACGAGTCCAAATTAAAGACTTTGTACTGTAGTTGAAAATGCCGTATCCTTAAATTTCATGATTAAAAACAAGATTATAATAGAAAATTCAGAATTTATTACCTTAGTTCAGTAAAATATGAATTTCTGCTAGCAATGAAATCATACGATACGTTTGTATAAATGCATTTATTAAATATATTACTAAATTTATTATGAATTTAAATGTATAAATTCTCTTCTAACACTAAAAAAATGAAGCAAAAGCCCTTAAGTTATACAATGAGTACTCTCCTAAGTTACACCTACTCTCAAATTATACAAGAAACAAAAATTTTCACTTAAATAAATAAATCAGACAATGTAGTATATAAATGTAATTACTTTCTCATCATCTTTTGGACACCATTCTGTACTTTTTCAAAAGTAATTTTTTCTTTCCTGTTGTGCAGCATGCTCACCACTGTATCTGTGCATCGAAATATTTCCAACAATATCTTGTATTTATATGGTAACACTAATTCAGAAGATTCTGAAGCAGTTAAATGGCTAAATTTTTGATATGCAGGCTTCTTTAATATAACAGGTGGTTTCAGACTAGAAGAAAACATTTTAAAATTAGTCTTAATGAAAATATTTTAAATTCTACTATATAAACAAATCATAAAATATATATCTCAAAATTCAGTTTTTATTTATTCACAATTGCATAAAATCAAAGATTATATTGAATTATACAGGGTTTACGATAAATTTTACGACAGACTTCTACGGGAGGTAAGGCACATCATAAGGATTAAGAATTACATGAATGCCCAGAAACATCACTCTACACTGCCAGGGGCTGCTCTACAAGAGTACTAGTGGAAAGTGAGGATTGCCTCATTCGAGCGATAGGCACCATATGAAGAACATTATGGAACACTATACGAACAGAGAACTTGCAGACATGCACTTATACATGGAATAGCTGAGGGTAATGGACGAACCGCTGCACGCATTTATCGAGAACGCTTCCCCGACAGACATCAACCATACCACAGTTTTGTCACACGTCTGCATCAAAATTTGTTGAACTATGCATCATTAAGAAGTGGCAGGACAAGCGAGGACATGGAAATAATAAAGATAAAATATATAAAGAATTTACATTTCAAGGCACATTGTTGTCAAGGGTTGATGTATTGAGAGAAATGTAATTTTATTATGTATATTTAAGTAATAAGTTCTTAAAAACCAGTAAATAAACTATGCACTGAAAGCTACTGCAATTTAGCAGAAAAATAAAAAATAATAAATGGTAAAATTTTAAATTAATATTTCATTGAAAGAGCAACATAAAAATAAAAACAAAGCAGTGAATAAAGAATTGCAGAAAAAGTGTTGAACCTTGCATATCAAAAGAATGGAAAATGTCACAGCTTAAACTGCAACCATGTTTTCAAACCAGTGTGTAAAAGGTAGCTGTGCATATTGCAGTCTCTTTGAGAGGATGATTCGAAAAATTGTTGCACATGAAGTAAATAAAATTTTCTCGGCCTTTTAAAAATATTTAACATGCACATCTACAATTGATGAAGTTGTTTTTAAATTTGCCATAACATTACTTGTTTTTAAGAACATTTAAATTGTTTTAAATTTTTTGCATTTTGATTTTACTTTGCTACTATCGGTCACATGATTCTTTTCTTCATAGTTTTTCCAAGATAAGTTAGCTGATAATATTTTTAATTGCCTGGTTTATTTAAAAGCTTTACTAGTTTTAGCTTGTAAATTATTTATTGCATATTCTTCTTATAAAAATTTGTTCTTTGAATGAAGATTTTTATGGTTTGAAAAATAAATTTCAATCTGCCGTTTGCTCGAGAACTAGTAATTTTCAGCTTAATAACCTATATACTTGTTAATGTTTTTAAGTTTTCACTATATTTTGGTTTTCATTACAAACTTTTGTCATTTTTAATAAATTGTACCTCTTTCGTTTTTTAATATCCTTTGATTTTTAAAAAAGTGTTAAATTTGTTCATCACTTACGCAGGCTTCGCAATGGTTTATTCAATATTTTATTCTAATGCTGCTCCTTTAATAAAATATTAATTTGAAATTTTAGCATTTATTATTATAAACATACATATGTTACAGCATATATAGTATTTTATATATGTTATGTATGGTATATTATGGATATTAAATGCATTGTTTTCATATCTTATAATACTGTCCTTGTTTTTGATATAAGTACTGTCAATAAAAAATTTAATGCATGCCATTCTATTTCAATATTTATTTCTTGAAATAACTAACCAAAAACATATATTTCTAAGATATATATTTTTATTTACTAAGAAAACTTTTACCACAGTCAAAGTAAATTAGTGATGAAGTTATATTTTCTCAGCATAAATATCAAGGCAATGCATGTGTCTTTGTATAGGTAGAAAACATTGAAAAAATATGCAGTATACCACTGGAAAAGTCAATCATGTGCATTACAGACATATGACAATATTCTTAATGCCACACTACCATGCTCTGGCCAACGCATATAACTACCATTAAGAAAAAATAAGGGATTTGAATCATGGGATGTTTTGTAAGCGTTTTTGTTGTGTGTGTTAAAACCGTTTAGTTGGATTTGAATGGGTTTGTAGGAAGAAAGGCTCAGATAGTCACTATGTGAAACGTTCGATCAGAAAGAGTACCTGGTTGGAAAAATGTCATTTGAGTATGATTTATATTTTGATTTTTACGTGGTTCTGGGTCTATGAAGCGAACTCGAAAATCCTGGTAAGTGAATATTTGCTTTTGGTAGTGCTTTAATGTATAACGTGTTTTTTGTTTTTAATGTTATTTTATTGTTTGGTTTAAAATGTATTTTATTGAGATTATGTATTTTTTGTTTGCCTATGTTGTAGACTATGTTGGTGCTCCTTTGACATTTTAAGTGAAAATATATCGATGTGTACACGGACAAAATAAAGGGAGTGCGCAATGCAAGTTTGTGCAATTCTGGGATTTTTTTTAAGTGAAAATAGGTCGATGTGTACATGGATAAAGTCAAAGGAGTGTGCAATGTCATTTTTGTGCAATTCAGTGGTTTTTTTTTTTAATTGAAAATAAATTGATGTGTACATGGATACTGAGTTTGTGTAATTATTTGTCTTGTTATTTTGGCTTTGTGTAGCAGCGATTTTCTTCGCAAGCCAAAATAACAAGTCAAAGAATTGCACAAAATCGGTATCCATGTACCGCCAAAAATCGCCAAGTTTCCCCAAGGGGTAGCCTAAACTATACTTTTACCTTTAATTTTTCTTTTAAGCCAGTTTTCTTAACTGAGTTTGTTTTTCCCAAATATTTTTTAATATTTCATTAGATTTATTTGAAAGATTAACGTCTTTTGTAACTTCAGCCTTTTCAGCAAATTCATTTGCTTTATTTGCAATTAGAGGAAAAAATGTAAGCATCTATAAGGGCCTTTATTTTCAAATAGGACGACTTATAAGCACCTATAAGGGCCTTTTTAATTTATTTTAAAATATAAGGAATTATAAGCACTTCTACAAACAACTATGCACCCTGTGTTAGGTTCATAAGTTCAGATTTCCTTTTATTATACACATATACAGAATTTATCAGCTACGCCACACATAAAAAAAACTAACCATTGATAGCTAGAGTTGCCACCTCTTGGCTGTCAAAATCCGGGAGAGGAAAAAAAATACAAATTTTCATAACTTTTTATTTTATTTTGAACTTATATTTTGTATTTGATCATACGGATTTCAAAAAAACTCTTTGCAGTCCATTTTAAAATTGAAGAACATTAGGATTTCTGCCTTGACCTGTTCTTCATTTAAACGGTTTCTTTCCTTAGTCCCTATATCGAATGCTATACTAAAAACACGCTCGCAGGCAGTTTTGATACAGGTATAGACAAAATGGATGAAACTACTTTCTTCAACATCTCCAACTCTTTTCGACCATTGAGAAAACTTTTGCGCACCTCAGATCAATCTTAATTTGATTTACAATTATGTCTTGAACCTCTCTCAAAATGCAGAAATCTCATAAGTTTATTTTCATCAAAAAGTGATCTTTAAATCAAGGCCGTCTCTCAAAGCATCCCACGTAATCGTTTTTTTCTTGAAGAATGCCAATTTACTATACTCCAAGTTTTTGAAATCATACCATTTTTTCAGGTAATCTAAACATCTCTCAAAGAAAATGTCTGCGTCTTTATAAACATAGCCTTGTCCGTTTCATTTAATTTGTTTAAAAAATCTCTCTTACTGAATTACCAAAAAATTTGTCATTTTTTGGCAGATTTCAAGCATAACATCGTGCAATTCTGTGCAAGCAACAAAATCACTTTCGATGATTTTAATTTCACTATCAAAAATTTGCATAACATTGTGCAAAAAGTAACAGTAGCACAAAGGCTGTGAGTTTTAGTCTTTAAATGCTTGCCACTACATTCTTCTTCTCCTTCTTCAATAAAATATGCCCGTAAAGCTGGCCAATTACAAAGCAAACACTCTATCACTGGCAATAAAGATAGCCATTCTGGTTGGCACATGGTGCAAAATGTCGCAATACTCAATACTTAAAAATGCATGGAAATCTTTCAAAGTCGCTGTTCGTTTAGCATATGCTGAAAATTCACTATAAACTTTCAAGAGTAGGCTTCAACGTCGAATTTTATGCCTTTTAATGCAAATTTTGTGCAGTTCTGTAATATATGGTATGGCTGTTGTTATGAATGCCATTTTTGATTGCACGTTGAATGTTAACAAAATCTGACTCGGTAATATTAACATTTATTTATCTAGTATGAATATATTTAACATATTCACTTATACACTTCACATTCATGTAGTTCCAAGATGAGCATTTTTACATTTCGCAAGTCCGCATGATAACAATCAAGAAAGTCATATTACAGCTATGATAACATCACGGAGGAGGAGGGAGTGCTGGCTTCACCGACGCAGCCGGAACCGATTAACCGCTCAAAATTTTCTCCAGAGAGGATAGGAAACGCTGGTAGTGCCCTCTTCGGGGCAGCAACAATATATAATAAAGTTTCTCCACAGTATTCCTCCCGAGTACCAAAGGTATGATGAAAAAAATCATTCACAATAGCTGGTGTTGAGCGCAACGCTTTCGATCGTGTGACCGATGGTGAGCATGGGAGGAGCGTACGTCGGTCGAAGGAGGGTATCCGAGTAGAGTTGATCCGTGAGTCAGGAGGATCGCTGGTCACGGAACCTGAGTGTTTGAGCTTCGAGAAAGCAGGCTTCAGACGATCTATGCTCAGAATGTTCCCTGTCGCGCACGAGAACTGAATGCTTATTGTTACGGCACAGACCTTGAAGGGTCCATCGTTGGAGGAGTGACTGGTGGTTTCACTGCGTCGTTTCGCACAAAACATGAGTGCAGTGCTCGTGCGTGGTGCACAAGGGCAGATGTGTTGTGGCACAAGTAGGAGTCGGAGACACTTCTCTATCGATCTCTGGAAAGTCTGACAAATAAGACGCTGGATCGACTGGAGCAAGACGGCTGAAAGAACTCAGATGTACTCGAAGGGTGTGCGTAGACAAGTTCAGAGATGTACCTGCGAGGTCTGTGAAAGAGAACGCAAACCAAGAAGACAAGAGAAGTGAAGTATCCAAAGGGGTCATTACGGCACTTCAGGTCGCGATGTAAGCGTCCACAAGCCGTTGGCGGAAGGATGTATGGGTGAAGTCGAATTCGACGTATTCCAAGCATAGATGTCAGAGAAGCGAAAAGGTGTGACTGGAATTTGTCGACCTTGATCAGTACACACTGATGTACACAAAGATGCAATCCAACCGGTGATGAATGGTCGAGCCACAGAGTCAGCAGAAATGTTCTGAATGGGAAAAGCTTCTGGCCAACGAGTAAATCTGTCAATGCACAGGTGAGTAGATATTCGATAACCTTCAGGATGGTGGCAGAAGGACCGACGATGTCTATATGAACATGGTCGAATTACATTCGGAGGGCATCACAATTTTTTCTCAAAAGGGCTATGTGTGTGTGTGTGCCGGGTAACTTTTGAACATTGGCACATGATGCAGAAATGAGTCCAAGTTGGCAATGTCCTTTAAGCATGGATGGCCAAACGAATTCTTTCTTGTATGAGCTTTTTGGAAGCCTCGGATATACCTGGGTGCGATAGGTTGTGGAAACAGTCAAAAACTATTTTCCTGAATTCAAGTAGTACGTAGGGTTGAAGTCTGTTATTAGAAGTATCACATAATAGATGGAGGTCCAGAATAAGTTGCAATGACTGAAATTTCAATGAGCAGTTTGAATCTTCACTCAGACGTTTTAACTCCTCATCAGTGGCTTGTGAGTGAGCAATAAGAGTAAAATCCAGTGGTGAATTAACATTGATGTTTTGAATAAACAAGAGAGTATCTGACAACATTGCTGGAACCTGATATATGCTTAATATCCGTACTGAACTGAGCTATTTAATTTAAATGCCTAATTGTCGTGAGGAAGCAGAATTTGATTTTGATGTGAATGCATAAGTTAGAGGTCAGTGATCAGTAAATATAGTGAAGTGTTGACCTTCAAATTATGCCTGAAATACTTAATAGCTTGTAAATAGCTATAATTCTCTGTCATACATGTGTATTTTTGTTCTGTAGGACACTTACGTGAAAAAATCCTAGCCGGGGTAGTCATAGAATGTCGAACGTTTTTTAAGACAGCAATGAATGTCAGAAGTGTTCGACCATAACACTCAGCTTTTTAGAGGTGATAGGAAAGTTGCAAGCATACTAAGGTCGTGTTTTACATTTTCAAATGCCTGATTAAGTTCGTCGTTCCAAGGACAGGGCGTTTATCATTTTAGTGAGTCTTTTAAGAGTTCATTCAGTGAAGCTTGGGTCTCGGCTGCCTTTGTAAGAAGCAGCAATAAGTTTATCATGGCTAAAAACGTCTGGCTCGACAATAGTGGTAGGTTTGGGGAAGTCGGCAATTGCTTTTGTTTTCTCAGCAGGGGTTACACCGAGGCAGTATAGGCAGCCTAAAAATGAAAAGATGTTTTTTCCCGAGTACACATTTGTTAGGATTTAATGTCAAACATGTATTCAAACGATCAAACACTTGCGAAGATGACGGATGTGCCCTTCTTCGCTAGTCGATGCAATAAGGATGTCGTCAAAAAAGGGATGCAAAAATCCAATCCAAATAAAACTTCCGTATAAAACGTGGAAGTTTGGCCTGAATTTCGTAACAAACGGCATAGCCAAAATTCAAAAGACCAAAAGGGGTTGTGACTGCAGTTTGGAATGTCTGCAGGTTAACGGAATTTGATGATAGGCACGTGCAAATCAAGTGTGAGAAATTTTCGTCCTGAAAACTTTGAGTGCAATCCTGATATGGGGACGGGACAGCGATCCGAATTTAACGCATTTTAAGTGACGATAATCCCGCACGGTTGCCAGTCGCCTTAGCCTTACGAACCAGTGCAGGGGGCTTGCCCAAGGACTTTTTGAAGCTGAATGATCCTTTTGATAGGAGAAAATCAAACTCTTAACGTGCAGCTTGAAGCAATTCTGGAGATAATCTTCTAGGTTTGGAAAAATGGAGGTCCTTAGTTCAATTGATGGAAATCGGACATTGGTGGCCTCTCAAAAGTTGCGAAGGATTGTCAAGCTAGGGTAACGGCAAGAATTTTGTCAAATTTTGAGTTACCCATCAAAATATGAATGCTAGTACTGAGCGGGTTCACATTAAGAAGTCTACCGCAAGAATATAGTTTTGTTTGTCCATCAATTAAAAACGGTTGTTTTTAACGTCTATGAGTAAGTTGAACTCTGTGAGAAAGTAAACACCTATGATGGGTTGATTGACGTCTGCCAGAATAAAAGGCCAAGTAAATGAGCGACGTAAGTTTAAATTAATGGTCAAAAGTTTGGTGCCATACGCTGCAATTTTAGTGCCGTTAGCAGCAAAGAGTTCCAATGCAGTTGGTATTTTGGCATGCTGACTGTAACTCTTGGGAATGACAGATAAATCGGCTTCGTGTCAATTAAAAAAGTCCGCTTTGAGGGAATCGCCAAAAAATTCGATGAGGTGGCGTCGCAACGTTGGCTGGCAAACGATCACCGATCTAGTTTCCGATCCGGAAATTGCACGGAGAAATACATTCCGTGCCTTGGAACCAAAATTAGTATGGAGAAACAGATGTTGTTGCATGGTCTTATACTGTCATAGCGTCCACAGATCTATTACCTACGTTGCGTTTGGGAATAGTCTCTTCTTCGTTCACAGGAATGCTCATGGCTGTTTTGAAGGCTAGCAAAAGTTCATTACCTCTTTGTCAGCTCTGAACTTGCTGTTCAGGTGGGGAGGTAGATGCCGTAGCAGCACTATTTATGTGCAGGACAGTTGTGGATCTGTAATTTATCAGCTACAACTGCTGGTTTGGAGATCATCACAAGGCAGCAAGAATACTTTGTGTATTGCGGAAGACGAGATATCCATAGGGATTTCAACAAAGGTTCTCCCAACGTCTCTCCAGCGAGGTTTCGCATACGGCAAGTATTGTGATGGACGTTGATCGCCAAGTTCTAGCCCCTTGAAAAAGTACGTATCTTGACTCCTCACTTCAGAATGCAATTCAAATAAGCTGTTTTAGTGTATCATATGCCAGTCACAGGTGGGTGTAAAACGATTCACAAACGCTATTGAGAATATCAGATTCGATTGGCGATATCACATGATTGAATTTCGTGGTCAACATGATTCCGGCGATATCAAACTGAGCCTCTAGTTGTGCAAACCACAAAGTAGGTTATCTTCCAAATGGGGGATTTTGATGGAAACACGTGAAATTTAAAGATCGTCAGCGATGGGTTGTGGTGGTGCATGATTCACAAAAAATTATTGCCATATGACACAAATAAACACAAATCAGTCACTAATAAGTTCACATATACACTAGTGCAAAATAAATAATGTAACATTAAAGAGAACACTTTGCAGGTAAGCTATCCGAATATAACATAAGTAATACTAAGAATTTGCGTGCTTACTCCGAATTATCGAGAATATTTGCTCAGTCAGCACGATTCAGCACAACACAATTCACTATAGAAAAAATATTCGAAAAAACTTATTTATGATATTAACTACTTGATGATTATATGGAGATCACTTTAAAGCACTTTGACGATTGCATGAGACACATGAATTCCCAAGCATGTTGTTAAGCGGCACAACTGTTTTTCACACTATATTCTGATGACACGCAAATAATGATGGATACGCTAGTTTTTCATGAAACAATAAACTGCATAGCACTACAATCATAAAACCTTGAGGATGCAAGAGTTACAGGAGGCCGTTCACTAACTCCTGACGAGTCACCATTTAGGCGTTTTTGGATGCCATTTTTGTTGCACGTTGAAGTAACAAATCTGATCCGGAATATTAAATTTATCTTTAATTCTAAGATGACAATATTTTAAAATTCTTCACTATCACATTCACATTGCATGTAGTACAGATGAGATTTTTACGTTTGCAGTCCGATGAGAAAAATCAGAAAGTCATAGTCGCTACATAACTCACGGAAGAAAGAGAGGTGAGTGCATGCTTCAACGACGGCACCAGAAACCGAGTAACCAGTTCGATTCTTCGGAGAGGAAAGGGAGAAGCTGGTGACCCTCTCTCTGGCGCGAACAAATATAAAAAAAGAGTTCTCCACATGCATTTACAGTTTGCTTTTAAATGTTTCTGTCAATCTTAAGTTTTTGATACACAGATTTATTTATGCCATAATTGACAGAAGCGTTATCAGCAGCAAACGAAGTTACATTCATTATATCTAAATTATTTTCGACAAGAACTTGACAAATCTGGTTTTTAATCTCACCACTTTTTTCTTGGGGATTGCAGTAAAAATCAAGCAGTCTGTGTTTTATCCCACTTCCCTTATGAAAATATTGCATGACTACTGGAAACATTTTAACGTTGCCATTATTCGACACATCTGTTGCGACCGAAAAAAATTTTGCTTCTTTAATCTCATATTCTTCTCTCAAGCACACTCTCGCAAATACTTGTACATTTTGTTCTACGGCAAGAAATCTTTTTTGCCAAACAAGAATCTGGAAATAGAGTGCTATACAATTTGCTTGTGCAATTCTGGCTATTAAAACTATGATGGTGCTTAATCCCATGATAGACTGAAGTAATTTCAATTGCTGATATATTGTCCTCTTCTTTTGAGATTTCTTCCGAAAGTTCTAACCAATTGCTAAGATATCCTATTCAATTTCAGATTGTGTCTTGCTTGGGAGTACAGTTATGCCTCAAACACCCGCAACTTATATTAACATTTTACGACAATAATTTACATTCTCCATTAAATTGCATTTCTTCATAAGCATTAAATGGTTAAACTTATTGAACGAGTCGAATACTTTGTCTTTTTTGTGGCACTTGTTCACTTGCTGAATCAGAATTGTTTTTGTCACTAGACATTATTATGAAAGCATTTAAATAATTTCAAATACACACTTGTTCGTAGATAGCTAGCTAACTGCAGACTAAATGAAAGAATGAATTGAAAATAAGAGGATGGAAGGGGTGTGCACACAACACGCCAGCTCCACTACTCATCAGCAAGGCGCTTACTCACCGCTCAACGTAGATTGCTGCTGCAAAGTATAGACATTCTTTAGTTGTCACATTCTTAGCTGTATAGGCATTCTTTAGCTGTATAGACATTCTTTAGCGGTCGTGTGATTTTCTATGCTGTCAACTATTTCGTCCGTGTGCATTGTATCGTTATTTTCAGGAAACTTGATATTCCAGGAGAGTAATATTTATTTTAATTTCCTTCCGGGAACCGGGAGATTTTAATTTTTAGGGCTCAATTCCAGGAGAGGTGGCAACCCTATTGATAGCTGAAACTAGCTGAGATAAAAATATTTTTACTTTAGTCATTTAAGAATGAGTAAATAGAAATATAACACAGAAATAATTTTAATATACATAGATGAAGTTTCCTGCTTTAAATCAGGATGCACATAGTTTCTGACTGTATCATATGCATAATAGCACTATATCATATGCATATCTTACATTAGCATAGTTCATCTCTAGTTGAGGATAAATGCTTCTAAATTATGACTACATATAAAAGAAAAGCTATAAGGCACATCATAATTTTAAATGTAAAGTATAATACAACCAAATTTGTAATGAAATTTAATTATAACCATTACATCAATAACAAATAATTATCAAATCATTGGCTGGTATACAGAGTTAACTTTCTTAAGTGTTTCATGAATTCAATAAATAACAAAAACAATTAAGTTATATTGGTATTTGTGCATTAACCACCAATAGACTGACAACAGTCTATTGACACTTTTTGGTAATGAAATACATTTTTAAAATCAGCATGTCAAAACAGGTTTTTTTTATTTCTAGCTGATAATACTTGGCAATCATATTAGAGTATTCTTCTTCAGGATTTGTGTTTGTCGTTATATGAATTCTGCTGAATGGGGGGGGGAAGTTATTTCTCTCAAACAAATATCCAATTCTTATTCTAACACTTCATTGGCTGTTGTTGATATTATACTTCCAATGTATATCATACATTATACATTACACAAGGTATGTGGCATAAAAACTTGAATACAGTCAAAAGTCTTTAATCCGGACTCGTTGGGACTTCGGCGATTCCGGATTATCGATTTTTCCGGATTATAGATCATCAGTTTAAATCTGGTAGATGGCTGCAGAATTATAAAATAAAAATAGAACCGAATTTATGAAATAAAGCATTATGATCTAAAGGGTATCACAGATTTCGGAATGGTCATAAACAAAGATATCCTTTATCCGTTTTTGCAGCGTTCCACTTTTGTTAACAACTTCAACATACTTTCGCTTTGTGAGACTTTACATTTAGTAAATATACGACTTCTATTGACATATCGAAAGTTCAAGTACTTTTATAAATGCTCTAACAACTCCAAAATATAAGCCGTCCAATCGAAGATTAAGGAACAGCGCAATTTGCAAATTAATGAATTAGAGATTAGATAATTTTAGCTTACCTTATACAGTCCTATACATTAAATTTTCCCGTGTAGATCCTTTGCAGCTCAGCATCGGAAATTCTTTTGACATTCGAAAGTTCCACTTACTTTTATAAATTGCTCTACGTCTGCAAAAAATAGAAGCGGATCCATTCGAAGATTAAGGAATGACGCAATCTCACATTACTGAATTAGATATATATATTTTAGCTTAGCTTAGACCAGCCTTATAATAAACAGCATGGTAACATATTATGCGCATGCGTACACGTCGTACACTAATGCGATGCGTAAGGTATACATGCATGACAGAAGTTTGTATCTTTAGGTCGATTTATAATTATCCGGTTATGGGTGTCGGGATAACACTTTGATGTACTATCAATTAAAATACCATTTGGGATTGCTTCGGTTTATTTCATGACAAATCTAATCAACACTATGGAATTATCTCTACATAAATAAAAAAAGAGTCTGTCTGTGTGTCTTCTTCGCCAGCGCGTAAGCTAATGACCACTGCTACAAAGTGGTACAGGTGACTAGACAAAGCCAGGGCACTCGAAGCGAGTTTTTGAAAGCCGAATTCAATTTTTTTTTTAGTTTTGGTGAAATTGTGTAATTTGAACATAACGGGCTATAGGAAGCGTGATTTACTAACCACTCCATTTCACATCTTCATGAAATGTAGCACTAGCTATTTTACCAATTAAAACAAATTTCGTGTTTCAATAAATCTATAAATACGAATTTATTTAACAAAGTAGCTAACCCTTTTTAAACGGTTTTTTTCTAAAAAGTTATTTAAACAGGTCATTTATTTTTCTTGATTCTGGACACGTTAAATTTCATCCTTGCGACGCTTACGAAAAGAATTTTGAAAAATGAAATTTTTGTATTTTTAAGATTTTTAAATAACTTGATAACTCTCACATCTCACATCTTTAAAAGTATTTTGGAACATTTCCTTCTATTTTTGTTGATAGATTTTGATGAAATCGCATCATTGATGTTTCATCTTTAGAAATAGGGTTGGCACAATTTTTCATCGCATTTTTATGTCACTGTTTTAAAGAGGCAATTCATTGTCATTTTTCAATATAACAATCCTCCTTTCTTATTGTTGTTGATAGATTTTTGATGAAATGCATCATTTGAATAGTTCATTCTTTAGAAATATGGGTTTGGCAACAATTTCATCGTATTTCTTAGTCACTATTTTAAGAGATGGCATATTTCATTGTCATTTTGTTATATATATAATATTTTTTTTTTTTTTTTTTTTTTGATAAAGGTTCTGCAGAGTAAAATTGTGCGGAATTTTTTGTTTTTTTGAGTTTTTTTTTTTCATGTTATTTGCTTATTTCACTGTCTGTAAGTATGAAAAGTTTTGCATGTTTTTTTCCTTACGGAAGTGGTTAATTTTTTATTAGGATAATTAATATTTATATTCAGGGATATAGTGTATTTCATTGTAATTTTTTTTTCTCTTGAAAACATAAGATAAAATATCATTATTATGCTGCTTTTCAGTTTTTTTTTTTATCTTATAGTTATTTATTATTTCACTGTTTTTAAGATATTGAAAAGTTTTTGAGTGATTTTTTTAGGAAACAAATTCTTAACCTCCTTATACCATTTGAGTTCTTAAGATTTTGCAAAGGGAAGTTGGTTAATTTATTTATTAGGATAATTAATATTTGTATTAAGGGATATTGCTTATTTCATTGTAATTTAATTATACATAATAACTTTATTTATGAAGTTGTTCTTGCAGAGTAAAATTCTACGCAGTTTTTAAATTTAACAGCCATTTTCCGGTACATTTAAAAGCCAGACGAAGGCTAGCAGCGAAGCTGCTAGTGTGAAATAAATTAATGCTGTCCCGAGAATTTTCACAGGAACAAGCAATATAGATATGGCTCTAATTTGTTTTAATTTGTCGAACGCTCACACAACACCAAATCAAAACTGATATTTTTGGTGATTTACTGGCTAAAACACAAGTACTGCCCCCCTTTCAAATCACTTTTGAAT